TGCTAAATTCCATATAAATATCAGTTGTTCCTATTACCACTAGAATAACATAAATTTAAGCTAAAACTGGAGCCATTGTAAATAAAATGCATTCAATTATACCGCTACTATCTTATTATCCAAAGATAATAAGAAATCTGATTTTGGCTGTCACAGTGTACTGAGTGACAACCTTTGAGTAGGACCTCACATTGCCAAATGCCAGCATTCCAGCCAGCATTCCTGGGGCGGGGGGGAACTGCTGCTACCTCAGAGGGAATGCCTGTACCAGGCATTACAGGTTTATCTGCTGCTGGACATCAGAAAAGCCTAGGGGCCATGAACACAGAACCCCAGCCCATCCAGAGCAGCTCCCCGAGTTTCTGTAATGACACTATTCTTTGAATGTTCAAATCTCTGTTATCAAACCACCCCTGAGGTAGTCTGCTGGGATCAGAGATACTTGAGCTTGGTGGTACTGCCATCCACAGCTAGGTATCTGATTGATACAAATATGCCTCATGTACAAAGGTGTGTACTCCCATTAGGATTCACATGTCTCTCAGTAAGTCACTGCCTTTCTCCCCAAAACTCAGGCCTCAGCTTCCTGTGCGAGGGTCACCTCCTGCTTTCAGGCTAGCTTCACTCTGTCTATTCTGAGTCAAGCAGTGCTCTCTTCCCACCTCACCCCTCCACTGAGGCCTGAGGCTTGTTGCTCCAACACATATCACTAGTGTGGGAGGAGCAGGTCCACAGGTGATATCATCTGTTTGTAAACAGTTTCCACAAGTCACCTCCCACTAAGAATCACAGAATCTCAGAGATGGAAGAAGGGATCCCTCCCACACAGAGCAGGGTTGCCCTTCAGAAGCTCCCCAATAAGGGTCCTTTGGCCTCTGCTCTAAACATCCTGGATGAATCAATGGACCATCTCCTACCTCACCTCTGAGCAAATACTTTTGTTGGGTGGATGCCATGACAGAGCTTGCTAGTCATCGGGTTACTGATGGAGCAGCACCAAGGAGCCTAGCTTCAATTTTCTATGAGCCTGGGTGTGTCCAGAGGCCCAAGTGTCCCTTCCCTTGAATGGTGGTGATTTCTAAGGCAGTAGAATATGATGCCAATTCTGAAAACATGGACTTTGGAGTCAGACAGATCCTGGTTTAAATCTTATCTCCCTCACTCACTATCCGGAGACCTTGGACATTCACTAGCTGTGCGACTTTAGGCAAGTCACTGAAACTCTCTGAACCCCAGTTTTCTCAGATTTAAAAAAATGGGGGAAGTAAAGTCTAAATTTTGAGATTACCATGGGGGTCAGCTGAGAGAATATATGTAGAGTGCCTAGCCCTGTGCCTGGAACAAAGGAAGTGTCCAATAAGTGGCAGCAATTATCACCACCAGTATTACCATCCCCTGCATCCCTGAACCACAGAGATGTCATTCTCCCTGTTCCCTCTTTTAAGATCTATGCCCACAGGCCTGGGCTTCAGAACTCAGGATGACCCTGCCACCACCATCACAGCAACCTCTAGAGAATGACATAACCATGCTTCTGAGCATGGCTTATTGCACCCTACAGAGTCCCAGAAGTCCATGACTCTTGGTTGGGCCTTGGCTGCACAGATGAGGCCTGAAGAGGGAGCTTCCCAGATTCCTGGAAGGTTCAGCTTGGGAAAGTTTCCTCACCCAGCAAGCAAAGCAGTGGATTGATGATCCGTAGCAAAAGAAAGTTTCAGATTGCCTGATTCCAAAGTCTCAGAGAATTGCAGATCCAAATCTTTGCCACACAGCAGCTTGTGCAGGGCCTCATGGGCCGGAGGGTGAGCACAACAGCCAGAAGGCTCTGGAAAGTTTCAGGGAACCAGACAAAGCAGTTAGGAGTATAAGCTGGCAGTGGGACACCTATCGTCTCCATCATGCACTGGCTGAGTGACTGAGCAAGTTACTTATCCTCAGTTTCTCTTCTGTAAAATGGGGTAACAGCACCTACCCCCACTGAGTCATTGTGAGAATGCCATGAGGTGGTGCATGTCACGTCAAGTCTTTAGAACACTGTCTGGCTCCATTTGTGATTTCTGCTATCATAATTAAGTACCAGGAAGCCACTCTTGTTCAGGCTTGAATTTGACTTTTCTCCCTTTTAGGTATGCCAAGCCAGGGCTAAGTGAGAGGTAATGGACAGGGTAACATAATGCGATAATAAACACACAAATGAAAGAATAGGAAACGAAGTGTTCTTGGGAGGTAGAAGCTTTATTATGACATGGATATTTATTAAGCACCAACTGTGTGCAAGCCTCTGCCACAGTAGGGTCCAGTATTCCACCCATGGTGCTCACGTTCCCGGAGAGGATGATAACACGGCGGTCAGAGTTTGGTGGGGCTGAGAACAGGGTGGGTTTTGGAACATCCAGTGCAGGTAGGTTTACGGGGAGGTGGGAGGGGAGCACACTCCAACTCAGCCCCGTGCGGGAGCACGGTGACACACAGCAGGGACTCCGGTGGGGAAGCAGGGCTCAGCAGGCAGCCTCCAGCAGCTCACAGGGCGGCGGGGGGCTCAGCAGCCGCCACAGCAGCCTTGGCTCTGGACGTTGCTGGACCTCTGGCTGCCACCTCCGCAGCAGCTGCAGCACCCGCTCCGACGCTGTCGGCGGCGTCTTCTGGGGAAGCAGCCACAACCGCTGGAGCCACAACCGCTGGAGCCACAGCAGCCGCCGTCTGAACCGCAGCAGCCGCAGCAGGAGGACGAGGCTGCGGGTGCGGGAGCGGGACACGGAGCGGGGCTCTGGGCACACCCTTTGGAAAAGCCCTTGGAGGAAGCTGCGCTCTGCTGGGAGGACATGGTGGAGCTCAGCTCGTCACGGTGAACCTGGAAGACAAGAAGTCTTTTACAGGCTAGCAGGCCTTTTCCCCCAACAACTGCACTCAGGGCTTTAGAGATTTGGTTGGCTTTGTGAGCAAGCTAGCCTGGCCTGGTGCAGGGGAGAAAGGAGGGGAAGCAAAGAAACACACCCCAACCAGGTGTTTCCAGTGAGTTAAACAGGCATAAAGCACGGAACAGTCTGCCGAGAATCAACGGGTTTCCATTTTCTCCAACTAAAATAAGGACCGTCCAAGTGTTCCACAGTGGAAGCTAAAGAGGATATGATGGCTATTTATCTGCATGATCCAGTCCAAACTCTTCCTTTGGCTCTTTTCTCTTCCCCCATTTCCCTGTGGCCGCAGATCTTCAAGTGCTGTTCACACAGTTATTAGCATTGTATAAACACCCCATCAATTAGAAAATACCCAAATCACACATGAGGACCTCCTGCCTGGGTCTAAAGAACCCACAAATACAAGAAGCATGTCCTGGTCATCATTCCTGCCTGTGCCCCGTTCCAAAGGATAGGGAAAAGAGTGCACCAGTCTGCATACCAGTGGTGTAGAAGATGGAAATACATCCCAGTCTACACCAGTGGTGTAAAAGGTGGAAATACATCCCAGTCCAGGGAGCCAAAGGCCTGGGATCTAGTCACATTCTGCTCACCTTACAGAAGTCACGGTCCCAAGTCGAGCCTCCATGTCCTCATTGGTACCATGAAAGATTGGCTCACTTGAAGCCTAAGGCTCTGCTCTGCCTTCTCCTCCCCTCTGCCTTCAAGTCTAGAACTACCCCCCAGGTCCTGCTTGGATGCTTACCAGACCCTGGTTCCACTGGAAGACTCGATCAGTTCACAACTGGAATCGGGCACCTGCTAGGAAGTGGACTGAGCAGTGTCCAGCCAAAGAACCTTTTATAAGATTGCAGTAAGGCACTGACTCTTGGGAGGGGCCCATTTCCCAATAGACATGGTCAGCTGATGTTCACATCCCAGAGACATTCATCACTCAGGTAGCACTGTAGGTGGTGCACGTGGGTATTCAAGTCACTTCACAGAGGTGCCAGGATTGCTGTGGCATGTTTACTTTCCAAATAAGACACTGTCCATAGCTGGGAGGGCTGTGTGTGTGCTAAGAAAAGTTAATGAGGGCTCATGTGGGGTCTGGGACCTCTCTTTGGGACCTGTTCTCTTTGCCCTCTTCTACAATACACACACACACACACACAGTTACCCCATTCTCACATCCATATCTGTGTAGTCATTTACTTGGTATTGATAATTTACTTACCTTATTATCTTTCTTTGCATCTCTCTGACTCGGTCCTTGGCTTTTCAAGTCAGGCCACAGGCTATGTGAAAAGCCTGTTGGGCTTCATCTAGAAGCTTCCAGATAACACTGAGTTAAGATGACGGTGGGGATATGCCTATGGGAATCCCAGGGCTGATTTCTCTCTGTCACTGGAAACAGGAAGAAAAACCCAGGCAAAGTTATAGAACCATTAAGACCAGAAAAGCTGTGAATGTAGTCAGGTTACCATATCTTCATACAGCCCTGGAGGCTTAAGAGAAAAATATGTGCAGGATGCCTGGCCCAGTTGCAAAATGCTAAGCCAGCTTGTGGGACTCCCTGCTTCTTACTCCCCACCCCCACCAAAATCCTTTTGAAGATAGGTTCTCCTTGGAACCACTGGCCAATGGAGAGAGGGAGGGAGGGAGGGAGGGAGGAAGGAATGAAGGAATGAAGGAATGAAAGAAGAAAGAAAGAAAGAAAGAAGAAAAAGAAGGAAGGAAGGAAGGAAGGAAGGAAGGAAGGAAGGAAGGAAGGGAGGGAGGAAAAAAGAAGGAAGGAAGGAAGTCAAGCCAGGTGTTTCCCAAGGTCCAAAGTGTCCATGAGAAATGGTACTTTTAGAATAACTGAGTTTTGAAATCTGGGACAGAGTTTGGAGGTCAACTGGCTTCAGAACTCCTTATTGAATGCAAGCACCCACAACCATGAGATAAAAGAGAAACCCAAGACTAAGAATTCAAGAGTTGATGGTGAGAGATAGGTTGGAGGTAAGTGAGCTGAGCATGGTATGATGAAACAAAGAAAGGTCAATCATGAAAGATACCAGTTTCATTTAATGTAACTTTAGAGCCTGATTAACAGGTTGCATGTACCTGGGGGCACTTGTTTGTGAGTACAGGTGAGACATTCCAAGAAGTGAGGTCTTATTAGAATAGAGAAAGAAGTAATGAAGTAAGAAGAGCTCTAGGAGAGGGGATCTCTTCTGGGAGATGACATGGACAAGTGCAGGAACGCTACATGGACTTGCTATGGTCTCATATACTAACTTACTTCACCTATCACTGTTAACTCATTATCAGAGGAAAAGCTAATTATTCTTCTTGTCTATAAAAGACTGATTGGGAATTATCATTCTTATCGTAAACTTTCTGAGTATCTTCTGAAGGAATCAGCCTATTTCTAAAGAAAATGGAAAACTCACCACAGTGACTAAAGCCCTCCTGTTCCCTCTTAACACACACACACACACACACACACACACACACACCATACTGACCACATGGAGACATTCTTTGGCAGAGGAGGATGCCCTTCTTGGTTCTGTACTTGGACCCATACTCAGGCTTTCAGGATCCAGGGAAAGTGGGCTCAGACATTTCATACCTGCCTCCTAAACTCACTCCCCCAAATCCAACCCCCCCCATATCTCCTCTCCAGTAACAGATGGAAGCACCTGGGATAATAATCATCAGAAAAGGAAAGGGTGTTTATTTATTGAGGCCCGGAATGAGCACTTGAGGAGACCTTATCCCCATAACTAGGAGATAAAGCCTCCTTAAACTGTCACCCATACTTGAAGGAAACCCCCGCTTCAGAGTATCTCATATCACTGTAACCTTTCTGGGTACACCATCTTCCCCTCTGAAAACCCATTCTTGACTCCCCTCATGCAAAGCTTGTGTAAGGGTAATAGTCTCAGATATGAATCTTTCCTTCAAGCCTAAAGTTTCCAAAATCAGAGCATAAAAGGGAATATTGTTTCCCAGAGGTCTAAGAAGCTTCAGTGCCAAATCTTCTTCCCAAACTGAATTGTAAAGTAATCACTTGCACTTAAGAGAATGGAAGGGGAGAGGGCTTGATGGAGGGGGTGAGTGGGCGAGGTGAACAAGACATAATCAGGAGGCTGTGACATCAGGAATAAGAAGCTTTATTGTTACAGAGAAAGCAGCTTCATAACTGAACTCCAACACCGAGTTCTCCAAAGATCTGTGTGCAAGAGGGAATCAAACTAGTGAATGCCACAGGCTAAACCTCTAGACCTCACAGTGGAATGGACATGGGTGGGAGGAAGAGGGAAATTCAAAGCATTTTGGAAGCCTTTCCATCCTCTTCTGTTCTTCCAGATGGGAGAAGAGAAGTCTTGGCACAGTGGCTCCTCCAGTGCTGCTCCTCAGTGCTCCTCATGGCCCAGATCAGCAGCAGCCCCCAGAGCTCCCGCAGCATCCAGAGCTCCCAGAAGAGCAGCCAGAGCTCCCAGAGCTGTGGCAGCAGCTGGAGCCTCCAGAATGGCCACCACCACTGCCACAGCAGTCAGAGTTCTGGTGTCAGCGTCGAAGAGATCGGCGGGGCTTGTGGTGGCTCAGGCAGCACCCGCCGCCCCCAGAGCTGCAGCAGCTGCTGCCCCCAGAGCTGCAGCAGCCGCCGCCCCCAGAGATGCAACAGGAAGAGACTGGAGGTGGGCAGGGGGCTGGGCACTTAGGGGGGCACTTTGGGGGACACTTGGGAAGACACTTAGAAGTACCTTTGGGGGGGCACTTGGGAGGGGGCTGGCACTGCTGCTGGCTTTGCTGGCAAGACATCTCAGCAGGAACTGAATGAAGCTGAAAAACAAAACAGCATTTTAAGCTCAACCAGGCCAAGATAACTTCCCTACATTTAAAACTGAACTATGAATTCACGAGATTCCATCTTTATGATGACCAGATTTTTAAACCCAATCTCCCAAAATCAATTACAAGAAATATACAAAAGGTTTCAACCTAGGGACTCCATAATTTCAAATGAATTCTTTGTAGTTTCGAGAAGACATCAATCCTTCTTTCCCTTCTCCTACCTTACACCCTCCCCCTTCAGCAGAACCCTCCCATCCAAATCTTCTTTTCACTATGTCTTTCTTTTTTTTTAAAGATTTTATTTATTTATTTGAGAGAGAGAATGAGATAGAGAGAGCATGAGAGGGGGGAGGGTCAGAGGGAGAAGCAGACTCCCTGCTGAGCAGGGAGCCAGATGCGGGACTCGATCCCAGGACTCCAGGATCATGACCTGAGTCGAAGGCAGTCGCTTAACCAACTGAGCCACCCAGGCACCCCCACTGTGTCTTTCTTAAGATTGTCCTTAGCCTGGGGTATCTCACTGGCTCAGTTGGCTGTCCAAGTGTCTGACTCTTGATTTCAGCTCAGGTTGATTTCAGCTCAGGTCATGATCTCAGGGTTGTGAGATCGACCCCCCTGTCAGTTTCTTCACTGGGTGTGGAGCCTGCTTCAGATTCTTTCTCTCCCAGGGCACCTGGGTGGCTCAGTCAGTTAAGCATCTAGCCTTTGGCTCAGGTCATGATCCCAGGATCCTGGGATTGAACCCCACGTCCAGCTTGGGGAGCCTGCTTCTTCTCTCTTCCTCTCTCTCTCTCTCTTAAATAAATAAATTTTTTTTTAATATCCTCTCTCTCTAAGGTTCTCCCTCTCCCTCTGCCCCTCCCTGCCTCTCTCTCTTAAATTTTTTTTTTTCTTCTCAGCAACCCCCAGGGCTACTCCTTGCCTGAAACACCAACACCAAGAGTCCCTCCTGGTCCTCGAGATGCACTTTACCTGGTTCAGGCACTGGAGCAGATCACCCAGGATGCAGGTAGACTGAGGTGCTGTTAGAAGCTTCTGACTTTTATACAGGTTCAGCTCTGACCTGGTATCAGGAGGTGTGGACCACGTGCAGGATACTAACAGCATCTTTCACAAGGGGCATGTGTGACTACCCTTCCCTCACATCCCAGGGACCTAATTCCTCCCTCCATAAGCATGTTAAGTATTAGCTTGTCAGAAAGGTCCCCTGAGAATTGCAGGCCACTAGGATGGTGATGGTGCTTTGTGGATTGCACACATTGCCTGTCAACCTCACAGGCAGCTCTGCTATGCTCCCTGTTTCCTGAGCTGGGTCAACGGGGTTCTAGAGCTCAGGGATGAAGAGAAGATCTCTCTTCTCTTTGGCTTGGAAATGGAAGGAAAAATTCCCAAGATGGAAATCAAACGGCTCCTTTTAGAATGAGATTAGAGATCCAAAATAAAATGTCAGACCTGAGCCAATGATCTAATGTGACTTTTTCATTCTTAGATGATGCCATAACCCAGATTAAGAATGCTCAATATCTCAATGATGTTATTTTAGTAGATCTAATGCAGATGGTGTGGGTGGTTTGATTTTTCTCCTTACCTGAACTTGACATACCAAGAGAACTCACAAATAACCCTGATTCAGCATTAACGATCCCCTTGAAAGGGCAGAAGAATTCTGGGAATGGCTTCTCTTTCCACATATGGTCCTAAAGGAGGCTTATTTAGTCAGACCAAGGTGAGGTAGAAAGGACCAGGCATATGCTGAAGGTGGAGCAATGGAATTGGACTCATGGAAGTTGCCAGAAGTGAAGCATCAGTTCCCGTCACCCCTAAAAAAATATTAGAGCTGAGCCCTAGTGTTTTCTTACACACACACACACACACACACACAAATTCATGGTACTTACTTGCTACTGTGGGATGAGATTGTAAGAAAGCCTGACCATTATGAAAAAACACAGATAGGAAGAATTTAAAATTCATTTATAATCGCCCCTTCTGAGCATTCTTAATATTTTGCTATTTTCCTTACATCCTCCATTTTATTTTTTCCAGTCTTTTTTTTTTTACTGAATATAGCTTTTTAGTGATTTTGTTTTGTTTTGACTTTACACAGTCTTTATCATAGTATTGTCTGTAAGAGTTTATCTTACTAACTTTTCACTTAAGATTTAAACATAAACATTTCCCCTGTTGCCATTCATTCTTTGTAAGCATTATTTTTGGTAGCCATAGAACATTTCGTGGAAGGCACTGAACCCATTTATAAGTGGCCAAGAGCATGAGTGTTAGAACCAGTCTGTGGTTTGAATCTCAGCTCCCCACTTACAAGCTTACCAGCTGTATGTTGGACAAGTGACATTAGTTCTCTGTCTCACTGTCTTCATCTGTGATATGGGAAAGTAATAGTATTTATCTCGTAGGATCCTTTGCAGATTAAATGAGTTAACATCCATAAAACTCTTGGAATAGTGCCTGGTACACAGTAAGAACCCAACAAATATTAAAAGTGAAATGTGATGCTGTCCCACTTCCAAATGGCAGCACAAAGTGGGCAGGTGGGTTTAGATAAAGCCCACCAGGTGGGGAGCCAGGGAGCTTGCTTTGGCTGCTAGAGCTCTGTGCATCAGAGGATCCACCTCTTCCCCTCTCACTGAGAAATACAGGAAAGGATGCATAACAAAGGCTCTGAATTCCTGGAAAAAGAAGCCTAATACAAGTTAAAGAAGTTATCCATTTAGTACATGGGTATGATAAATTTTGAAAGGAACAATGTACATACCTTCTTACTTATAATTATTTCATCACCTAGCTGACACACAGTTAGGTCTTTTAGTGTAGGAATCCCTAAGGGATCGAGTTTAATGCTCAATTTTCAATTTTCATTGAATTGACACTCAATTTGCATTTCCTTGTTCAGTTGAATTTGCTATTCAATAAGAAGGATGGGTGCCTCCAACAAATCCAAATCCAGATTTTCATTGACAAATCCCAGACATTTCATGGAATGATAGAACAGATGTGTAAAGGACGTTGGCCACCATTCAGACACAATGGTTCTCGACTCCAGTGAGGGATGGGCACTGACAGTCTCCAAAAGTTCATTGGGTGGTTCTAATATTCAGTAGGATGAGAATCACTGATTTTGATCATATTCCTTATTTTACAAATGAGGAAACTGAGGCTCAGAGATGAGAAGAGTCTTGTCCCAGATCACACAAAGACTTAGAGGCAGAGCTAGAATTCAGATCCTGTTATCAGCCCTTTATCACAGCACCCTGCCTCTTATATATTTTATTTCTTCTTGTGATTTTTTTTTCTAGCAAGCTTTATTTTACATAATTTGCTTGTTAAACATGGCTATTGAATTTGGGATGAAAATCATAATAAACATGGTGAATCTTTGTCTGACTCTCATGTTTAGAAAAGTTGGAAGTAATCTTTACTGCTACTGCTTTCAGGAACCAGGAATTGAGTACCTACATCTGAAAGGCAGTGTCTGGCATTACGAGGGCTGGGCCAGCTGGGGGACCTCAAGAACCCTCCCTAGGGCAGTACTACCTTGATGGTGTTTCCTTGGGCCAGAAATCCAACCTTGTCCATGCCTCTGAGCTTACCAATCCTGGCGATGTTGAGTCACCACAACTCCCAAAAGACTGATGACATCAATTTACAAAGAAAAATATGAGTGTTAAATATTGGCATGATGGGCATATTCTCTTCCTGTAGGAAAACTCCTCAGAGAAATTGAGTCATAATGTGAAGGTGCTTGGTGAGGTGGGATTGCATAATGGTCTCAGGTTTTAATCTTTTTTTTTAAAGATTTTATTTATTTATTTATTTATTTATTCATTTATTTGACAGAGAGAGAGATACAGCGAGAGAGGGAACACAAGCAGGGGGAGTGGGAGAGGGAGAAGCAGGCTTCCCGCCAAGCAGGGAGCCCAAAGTGGGGCTCGATCCCAGGACCCTGGGATGTTGACCTGAGCCGAAAGCAGACGCTTAATGACTGAGCCTCCCAGGCTCCCCGGTCTCAGGTTTTGATAGCGAACAAAACCAGATATGCCCATCAGGTCATCTGAATACCTCCAGTCTGGACAGACCTGAGTGGTCCTAAAAACATCTGCTGCCTGACCTTCCTCTGTAGTTCTTTGTAGATCAACCCTTTCACTGCCAGACCCTGGCCTGTGAACCACCTCTGTAGGAGTTTCTGCTGAATAGTGCTCCCATTCATTCCATGCTGATTTTGGAATTTAATATTGGGATGGTAATTTCATCATTTGTCTTCTTTTCATTACTCACTATTGCCCTGATGCACACTATAGGAAACAGAATAATGCCTCTCCCCTCAAAGACGGCCATGTCCAAATCCCCAGAGCCCATGAGTAGGTTACCTTACACAGCAAAAAAGACTTTGCAGATGTGATTAAGTTAAGGATTTTGAGATGGGGAAATTATCTTAGATTATCCAGGTGGGCCTAGTGTAATCCCAGGGTACTTTTAAGAGGGAGGAAAGAGGGTCAATGTGAGAGAAAGGAGATGTGACAAATGAAGCAGAGTGCTTTGAAAATGATGTGCTTTGAAAATGACCATGAGCTAAGGAATTTGGGAAGCTTCTAGAAGCTGGAAACAGTAAGGAAATAGGTTGTTCCCTAGAGCCTCTAGAAGGAACATAGCTCTGCCAACACCTCAATGTTAGCATGGTAAGACCCATGTTGGACTTCTGACCTACAAAAGAGAATAAATTTGGGTTGTTTTAAGCCACTAAGTTTATGATAATTTGTTATAGCAGCAATGAGAAGCTAATACACACCTAGATTTAAAAATAGTTTCAAGTTTCAGAACATGATTT